AACTTTGTATTTCAAATGATCTGAATCAAAGTTGTAACATAAATAGTATTTTCCAAATACAAGAGTTATACATCTTGCTATACGATTTAAATTGGTTAGATTAAAACGCTTTTATATGAATTATCATCCGACCCCAACGGCATTATTAATCATTATGATAGATTAGTTTAAACATATTTTATTTCTCAGAATATATATATATATACATGTTACTATTTACAATATACAGAGAGCAATTCAAATATTCGTAAAAAAACAGGATTAGAATGAAAGACAACGTGTCTCCATCTGATAGACCGTTGACGATAGTTATGCTGAATATATTTCAAGAATAAAAAAGTCAAAATCATTACAGTTAAAATGAGAATAAAACCAACATACTAAAGCAATATCCTTCCTTATTCTTGCTAATATTCATGACAAAAAAATCATGACAAATTTGAAAAATGTAATTAAAAATATTGTATGATAAACAAAGAAAGAAAGAAATTTACACATTTAAGTCCGCACTCATAGTCCGCGTGCATTACTTTACTGATGTTATTGATTATGACATGTAAATTATACACATGTACTTGAACCCTGTTTTTTTTACTTTTCTTACAATCATAGTATGTTTTTTCCGTAATTTCGATTTTTTATAGATATTTTGACTCATGCAGGCATGCAGCTTTAAAAGTACCTCAAGTCCGATCGGTTTTGTTCTTAATTTTTGTATTAATTTGTCTTTTTATTTGGCACGTAACTTATTACATGTATCACCAACGTAACAATAACTTAAATAAGCAGAAATTGTATGTTGGGAAGAGAATTTTACTGGCAAATGTGTTAATGATAAATTTTAAATGGAAAAAATGCGTAATATATAGTATTCTTTCAACATGATAGTAAAAGTGTATAAAGCAATATCTTATGAACTTTTTTGATTAATGAACTTCTAAACGGAAACATTATCTAGGTTTTGATAATTTTCTTGTCGTTGTTTGAAAGTTTTTATATAGAATGTTCATTAAAATTATTAAACACACATGAAAATTGTATGACAACATAAATTTAGTGTTCCGTAACAAACAAATGTTTTGCCACTTTTTTCAGCGATGTCTAAACCGTTAAGCAATAATTTTTTTTTTTTTTTTTTTATACGCTCATAATGAAATAAACAAATATTTTACCTCCTTAACAGACTACACGGAAATGTACAAAGATTAGAAAAAAGTAAAAATATTCACAATCTAAGTAATAATTTGCATATTATATGCACTGAATGACTGCATTTGCAGTTTTTTTCACCACATATCTTATGTGTGATCAGTGCAGTTATTGCTGCTATTTTTGCATATTTGACATTTATTGGGCAATCTATGTGGATTGAACGTGATGTTTGCCATGCGTAAATTGCTTTTTTTGTTTCTTTGGTTCATTTTTAATATATTTTCAAACTTTTGTTGTGAAAATGATCTGAATCATGTAGGCATGTTGCATAATGTCACAACTGTGGGTAATCACAAATTTAAATAACTCATCTCCCTTGTTTACCTTTAAATACAGGTTTACTTCACGTTCTCTATCGAACATGGCAGATGCACCTACTTTACAACCTTACTTTTGTATATTTGTTTCTAAATTTATCAAAAACCTTTTCAAATATGCACTACGAAACTGCATTAAGTGTTAAATATCAAGTAAAGGTTATTCTGTGGACTATTTTTTAAAGAGTTATGCTCCCTTTTTCTGCTCAGATTTTATCCAATTCTTTTTGATCATCATCTTAGCAACCGAAAACTTTTATTTGCATAATGGGTGCCTGTTTCGTCAGTAATTAAATTAAATTTTCTTCCGCTAGAAAGCTTATGATTTATGTTTTAGAAACTGCAATGTTATTCTTTCGATAACGCTACATTTTGCCGATAAATGTTTTAAGAAGAAGATATTTCTATCAAGGAAGTAATCAATAAGGTATTTGCAGACTAATGATATGATTTCAACCGAAAGGTGAAGTGACGTAGCCAAGGACGACTGTATTTGGCAGTTTATAAAAGAAATTAAATCTGTAGCACAATCTATGATCCTGGTTTCATTAACGAGTTACTTATTATATGATAAACATATATTCACGCCACTTGTGCTTTTAATATTTTCCAAAAAATCAAAATAAATGTCAACCTTTCTCAACGCGGACAAGTAAGTTGTGAGGCGAAAAAAAAAACATCAACAACAAACAAACAAAGAAACAAACAAACAAAAAACAACATTAAAACAACAAACAAATAAACAAACAAAAGCAGAGATATACTAAACATCACTTTATTATTCATTATTTAAGAAATAATATATCCCAAACTGTGAGTTTATCGCTCAATAAAATCACTGTTTGGAGTTCGGATGCGAGGAATTATATCACGAGGCCGTAGCCCGAGTGATATAATGATTCGCATCCGACCGATTTGTTTCCGTACTTATTTTTAGCGCGCGTCGAATTTTAGTGGTCACGTCACGTGTATAATAATTACGTCACATGTCTAAATATAGAACGTCAAACAGTGGTTTTATTGCATAATAACACACACTTTCGGTTCTTCTGTGTTCAATAGGAAAAAATGCGGATCTTGTTAGAATATTTAATAAACTAGTTGAACATATACGATAAAAGTTAATTCTTTAAAAAAGTGTTATATGTAATAGGGCATGAACATTATATTCTGTGTTCGATTTTTAGGATACTTAGATTGATTGACCTAACCTGACAATAATACTGATCGGGTCAGACAACCATATGAACACAATCTATAATAAACAGACGTTATCGGGTTTTACGACATTAAGGTCATTCAAAAATAACCTCTAACGTCATAGCAAACATCAAAACTTCCTGCTCTACTCAGATATCAGGGCATATCTATTGCGCGTTAAAAATAAAGGTTTGGATCTTGGCCAACACTTTACTGATATAGAAATATAAAATGAGCCAACCAAAAGAAGTTTGTCTTGTTTGTTAAAATATATTGAAACCCCTTTCAAGAGTGAGTGTGCTAGTGTGTACGTAAAGTATTTTAGACGGGTTTTGGTCGGGTTAACAAGGCTTTTGAAGTTGGGTAGTTGGGTCAATTCGTTGGTCAGAAATTTAAATATTTTATTATAAACACCACTTTAAGACTAAGCAACGTTCTGTTTTTGAAGAAAAATCCCAATACAATCATATGAGGTAGTTGACGTTATAGAAAAAGTGATCATCGAAACACAAAACTATCTTCTGTGACCGAAAGGTCTCAGCTCCCGAGTATAAATCATATTGCCGAGTGTTTTAATGTTCTTTCTCTTTTTTTATCATAGACAAAAATAAAAACGCGTTTTGTGTTGTCATAACATGGAACTCCAGAAAACAAAACCAATGAATGAGCATCAGAATTTCTATCGCTATCCCTTTCTCTGCCGTCACAATAAGTAAACCCTAGAAAACAATGACCAAACAATGGATATGCTCTGTAGTGTAGGTAACTTATACCTACACTCCAGTTAACGCACTGTTCATATATATGTACCTGAATACGATTTGACACATTCTCAATAGAAAGGTCCCCAAACTATGATACAACATAATAAAATAAACACAATGCAAATGATACCGGGTTCGTCATGAATTGTAATACTTCACTACTGTACTATATTTCCTAAAATGACATTATTGTTTACAGTCATTTTACCCGTGTCGTAAATGCATCAAATAAGCGGCATAATTGCGATAAAGTTGAAAAGATATAAAACATGTTACACTTAGTAATATAATTGGATTGTTAGTTATAAACTTCATTTTAAAAGTCAACTGCGCAGATTGCTAAAATATGCAAATGTCAACAATACCAAACATAGAAGACCCGCGGCAAGTCATATAAATGGACTGTAAGTTATTAATTTCCCTTTACTAGTCAACTGCGCAGATCACTAAAATGTGAGACTGTCAACAATTCCCAAGATAAAAGACTCTTCAACTATTAAAATTAAGCGTGACATAATCTTTAAGTTATCTTGATAACATTATTTCGATTAATATGTAGAATCAAAATATCTAGTCATTTTAACATAAATCTCAAACAAAGTCTTAAGCTTATCTGAAAGAATCTTTTGTCATTTGGACATCTGTATGCATGTTAGACACAAGTAAATGCATGATATTGAACAATAACGAAACCATATTATATATTTTTATAGATTTAACAAATTTACAACAACAAAAAAAAAATAAAAGCTGCATGCCTCCAGATGGGCAAAAAAGATTGTAAGGAAAACAAACTTGAGAAAAATGTATTCAGAGTGTTGGTCCAGTAAAGATAATTAATATTCAAGGTATATGAGTAATGACTGATTCTGCAATATATGCCAATTAAACTATTTCTACTTAGTGACTAATGCATTAAGTGCTATTTTGAATACTCGTTTATCATTTTGGTAATTAAGGTGGATTGTAAGACTAAGTGTAAGTTTTGCAGCTATGTACGAATCCAATATGATCAGTATTGTTCTCAACCATGTTTAATGTTCTTTAATTTACACTACCTATTTTTGAGATTTTAACAAAACTTTAAATTTTAAAACAAAAATCACAATAAGGATTTAATATTATTTTGGACTGTCAAAAAATGAAAACGAGGCTATAAAGTTTGATAAAGACGTTTATTCGCTGTAGATGAAAACGAGGCTATATGGATAAGATTGGGTTCAATAATGATTTCCGTTTGGACATCACGTGATGCAAATGCTGGAATTACATTGGCTATATTTTGTAAGGTATAGAGTTAAACGTTTTATCGTACGGTCCATTGAATTGATTTATTACATAATTATTTATATTACAAGTGTAACTAACACCTATAGAACACAATTCATTATTATTATAATTATAATTATTTTTTTTAACCTCAAGCTCATACATGTATATGGGACTCCCCAATTAAACGCAAAAAACAACACAACAACCCAACATTCCTGATAAGCGCTTGTATATAAGAAACTACCGAGAGCGTGAACAGCTAGACAAGCGAGTACTCATAATCATGGGTACTTTTTACATATTTGTAATTGTTTTAATTTTAAATAGTGATACGGCTTTCGGGTAAGTATAAATAGTCTTATTTAGAAAAGTTTTTATTTATTGTATACATTTTATATTTTGTTTATTATTATCATTATTACAATTATATTCTTTTATTTTTTTTATTTTTTCATTTTTATTTAAATTATGTTATTTTTATCTAGAAGAGAAACATCTTTTTAATGACTGTTCAAACAAATATGTATGTGCATAAATGCCTAAAATATTCGTAATACTTTTCCATTGCAATAAATATCATAATATCTAATAACTTATACTTTAATTTTTATCCTTATTGTCCTTTAATGCCAACCAATTCATGACCACCGAATATCTAAATGATTGATTAGTGTACCAAGAGAAGTTTAGTTTATAAATGATGAAGCATTGAAGCTTATTCGGACCAGTCTTGAATTTAATTCAAGTTGCTCAATCGAACATTTCAACTGGAACGCACTAATTTCGATTTTTTTTTTATTTTCTGATTGATTGCTTATTTCTTTGTTTACTTAATTAATTCATTTTCTATTCTTGTTCATTTATTTTTACAATAGATAGTTAACCGTTTGGTTTTTTTATAAGATGATTCTTAGACTGGTTGATTGTTCATTTGTTTAATAATTATATCGTTTTTTTTGTGTGTTTTTTATTTTGCTGTTGTTTTTTTTTGTTCGTTGCTAATGATAGCTGTATTGTTGCCGACAATAACCACGCTGGTCTAAGCTCAACTTCGTTTTATAAATTGTTTTTACCGTCCAGTATTTTATGATGATTACTTATTACCTCAATGCTGGACAAGTCTATTAACCTAAACGTGATTCATAGATAAAATGCAAACGTTTTCCCGAGCAAATACTGTATCAGGATAACCGTTAAGATATACTATTCAACCTTTTTTTTAAAAACATGTTACTTATCGTCCTGATATGGCACGGGCAGGTTTTAAAATTAAAGCACATTACAGGTAATAGATCAAATAAAAGGAAATAAAACTGGAGGCATCGGAAGTTTTTTACGAAAATAATAGGGATGTAAAATACAGGGAAGAAATATAAACTGTGAAAAATACACAAAAGAAAAAAAAATACAAGGATAAACAAAATCCATTTTTACCTGTAAAATATGTTGTTGATGATATTAATCATTCAATATTTTGATATCCATTAGAGATGACATCTTTTGATTGTAAGACTCATTCAAAAATAAGTAACGATTGTTGAAAAAGACAATCGAGTCCACTCTGTTCCATTTTAAGCTGAAATAAAAAAGAAGAAAAAAAACCAAAAAAACTTAGAACAGGAATAATGCTAAAGGTTTTGAGAAATGCACACATTGTTTTGCGATTATTAATAAGAAGGTTTCACGCTTTTTATTTTCGGGTAATTTGGAGGTCAATACAATGATTACTCAAGACAAACTTATGATAAGATTTTTTTCACAGAGGTTTTTGTTCAAACGTTAATGCTTGTTGCTTGTCTGTTTTATCAGCTCTCATTGAAGTCCGTGTTATTTTAAATCATGATAATTGTTTATGTTATAAAACAACAACTGGTTTCCATGTTCTGTATCATATGTTGGTTGGTTGACTGGGTAGTTGTTTTAACCTCGCTGACACAGACAAGTTCAAAAGATGACATTCTAGTTCCACTTGTGGAGAAAGACCGTAAGTGACTGTGCAATATATTAGCGAAAACTAGACAGCTTCGTCACACAAAGCAATCCGAGGTCCGTGGTGCGATGCGAAGTCACAGCGGCGAGAGGCAAGTGGGTTAAATTCAAGGACCTTTATCATTATGCTGTGGGCGCCCTTCTGTTGCAAATGAATTTCATTCAATTTAAAACGACCTATGGGAAATAATTTAATTCGTCTAAAGTATGTTAATAAATAACTATATATGATTCAATAATCGATCAACTATTCAACCTAATATTTGAATTATATCTCTGTTGCACATGGACATTTGATAAAATAAAATTGACCTTTTTTGTATCCGATTATGTGGATAATTAATGGGATATTAGTCGTTGACAAATAATTGATCAAATTAAAACGTTATCATTTTAGGTAAACATAGCGTTAGTTCAAAATCACCTTCATTTCAATTCTTTATCAAAGGTTAATTTTAACTTTTACGTAGAGCATGATAAATGAATGTAATATAAAATATAAAATGATAAACCTACACGACAGTGTTGATAAAAAACAAACAATGTTTCAAAATTTTTATTTGAATATATTAAAAGGATAATGGTTTACACCCCACATTACTAAATTGAATGTATTCATTGTTGAATTCATTCATAATTATGTCCTACCATATTTAAATGTGTCTTCAAAATACATCAACTTATGTGCCCACTCATATATTAATGTGCTCTATGTCTTCATTTATGGATTGTGCATTCATATTTTAATGTAAACTAGTTATTTGTGTATTCAATAATGTATATTTTTAAGTATTCATTAACAAATTCTTTAAGTATTCCTTTATAATTCATTCTTATATTCATGTTTTTATATTTTTCATTTGGGTAATTATTAAAGTATTTATTCATTTAATCATTTAGTTATTTATTCATATGTCTATGTATCATTTCTGTATTCATTTCTTTATCAATTAATGTATTAATTCACGCATCAATTCATATAATTAGGTATTCATTATTTATTAGCTAAATCTGCTCAGGTAAACTGAATGTCAATTACAATACGCTTTTATTTTTATCACACAACATAATTAACTTCAAAATTTTCATACAATGCTTACGATTTTCAAATATTTGAACATAGCACAGCTATTGCGTCTATCATTCAAAATATTAATATTAATTAAGTTAAGCAAAGCAGTCATTTGCACAGTTATAGCTTAACGTTGCAATTCTCGTTAACAGTTCATTCGAAGGGCTTGCGTTTATTGTCAAATGATGTTCAACATTTAATGCAAATTTCGTAGAATCAAACTGAATTGTACGCCAGTTTTGCAATTTAATATTGTTTTATTAATACTGCTTTGCATGCAGTTAACTTTAAAAGTTCACAGGCATGAAATAACAAGTGTTGTTTTACTTCCAAAAAATCCCCCTTACAGCCTATAAACAAATAAATTTATCACATTTATGGCCCAAATGTAGATTATATTCTTTCAAAAAAGCAAAAATCTTAGCTGGTCATGAATTTCCCGCAACGAGATAAAAGTTGGCATTACACATAAGCTTCCCTGTGTAAAATAATGATTTCAACATAACCTATGGAAGGGTATTAACGCAAAAATTACAGATTGCTTTCTTACGTTTTATCGTGCTTTCTAACTTGTACATCGTGCTTTCTAACTTGTTTATCTTGCATTCTTACTTGTACATCTTGCATTCTGAATTTTACATGTTGCTTTCTTACATGCACATTATGCTTTCTGCTGTGTGCGTCTTGCTTAATTGTATTATTGATATCGTTATTTTACGGTCAATTATTATTCATTTGTTGATCTGGTATATTAATTCAATAACCTAACCTGCAACTGTTTGTATTCGGGTCTATTTACTCAGCTTGAATGACGAATGTCATAAGGTCGAATGACGCATAGCCGAAAGCCGAATTAATGCAGCAAGCATTATACAATGCGACATCTGGTGTAATAATATGTGACACCCAAATAATGCTTACAGGCGGCGCTACAGTTATATTCTGGGTAAAGTCCGTATTGCGGTTCGGATTCAGTTTACAAAGTTACGTCTTGTTTTAAAATTTTCATTTCCGCTATGGAGTAAATAAGGCAAACATATATACAAATGATTTAACCAATTTTTGTGTTTATTACTGAAACTGTGTGTTTCCAGCTGACAATGACAAGTTGCCCATTTTCAAATCAACAAAATAATAATAAAATAGAACAGTTGTTCAAAGTGCTTGGGTATGGAAGGTGATTGATATTACGGATACTTGTTTATTTTTTGTTTTTCCGTTTGGTTCCGTACATGTTTCCGAACTTGCGCCTTCTGTCGTAAAAAAGTGTAGTTTGCAACTGCCTTGTTGTATTGCACATAGTGCGTGCTTCCATGTATTATTTATACATGTAATATCGATTAACATAGGTTTCTTATTTTTGTACACATTAAATGTAGACATTTTACGATCATTATAATTAAACTGAACTGATTTAGCATCAAACATATAACTTTTACGTGGATAAATTTGAAGATAGTCAAATAACGAACGATTCATGCAATTTAAAGCAAAATGTGCAAGTCAAAATGCAAGATGTGCAAGCCAGAATGCATTGTGTGCATGTCACAATGCAAAATGTTATAATAAGAATCAAAGATGTACAAGTTATAAAGCAAAATGTAACGTAAGAATGCAAGGTGTAATTTTTGCGTTAATACCCTTCCACAATAACCTTCAAGTATTTTAAATACATAAATGTTGCTTGCTATGTAAACTATTAAGTTTACTTCCTTTTTTCAGTTTTTTCATTGGATTTCAACTGCAATTTATTACAGTTGGTCATAGCAGTTTTGCTATGCTACATTATCACATTTGTTGGAGTTCTTCCAATGGTGTGCATTATAATCCTAGGCAGCCGCTTGACGAATATCAATATCCTTTAATTTATTATCTCAGGCAGTTTGTAATACTTATGTTCACAGTTTTCTTTACAAGAGATAAAAGACATTTTTTTACTTTACTTGTCATTGTCGAGGATCGCTGCATATCATTTTCAAAGTAAGTCTTTATCAACCAAAAAATGCATTTATCAAAAGACAAAAAGTAACCACTAAATGTCAAAATGCAAAAGTCTTTTCTCCAAGATATTGGAGACACATTGCTCATATTTTTGTTGCCAAGCTGAGCTTAATTAAACAAAATACATGTTATGTGCGAGTAATGTCTTATTCCGCTGTATTTATTATGGTGGCTGATTTGGTACGCTTTTGTGCGTCGCGCTGGCGCTAGCGACAACACGACAAAGCGCCAAACAGCGCGCTGTCGTCTTGTCGTCCTGTCCCTAGCGCGACACGCAAAACGGCGCGTAGTCGTGCGGCGTGTTGTGGCGATGTCACATTGTCGCTCGATTCAAATTGAAGGATAAATTGTGTGCACATGCTGTACTTACATACTATCACTCCTTTTTGTTTGATTAATTGATTACCTTGTTAAAGACAGGATTCAAGGGCTTAACTTTTCTTGTGCTTCATGATCAGCAGAGGAATGCATTATCAGCTTTAATTAGTTCTCCGCTGCCATAAGGAATAGATATTTTGATAAGTTGTTATCGGATGTGACAGCTGTGTCCTGATGTTGTATAAAATAATGATAAATGCTAGCATTAACATCTAAACAAGCTTTATCAAAATTCGTTCCTTAATTAATTAATTACTTAATTATTAATTATTTTTTCTAGAATAAAATAAAAGGTGTTGATGCTTTTTGCATTCCTGACAATAAATATCTATATTTTAGCGGATATTGTCCTTCAGTCCGAACAGAATATGCAAAGACATATAGGCATTGTGGCACTTGGTAAGTATTGAAACACTTTTAATGTGATATGGTATATTATGAATATAGTTCGTAGATATAGATTATCCACATTACGTCAAGAAGAATGATCATAAAACCCTTTTTGATTTGTAATAAACGTGTAAATTTCTTAATTTATATTAAACGTATGCTCCTTCAGTCATTTGTTTTAGTTTTTATATACCTACCCACAACAAAGCTTTTATAAAGATTTGTTTTTGAATTTTAGGGGTTGGGGTAGGTGTACAACGTATAGACCATATACTGTGCCAACTCAAGTATGCTGCCCTGGGTGGAAGGGTCCTAGTTGTTCAATAGGTACGTTTAATAACATGTTTAATTTCTCACAATATACTTAAACTATTTTTTATTATGTCTTGTGCTCAATCCTGGTTTTTGTACCTAGCAGTGTCTCGCATTTCAGAATCATATTCTGTGTGTAACCAAGCAAATACCTAAGTGTTGATGTAGTGCTTAGAAAACAAAATGCATTACCTCTGATCATATACACTTAATATTACTTTTTATATATGCTCTCGAAGAAGCTTTAAATATCAGTATATTTTATTGTTTTAATATAACACATCTATTTCATATAAATCATTTATAATGCATATTTGTCGGTATGTCGGAAATTAATGAGAATAAAACTTTATTATCATTGCATTCCTTAAATTGCTTGTGTTGGGAGTATTAAAATGTACATACTCGTAAGTCAATAAATTACTTTATTATAAGTGTAATCAAAAAAACAACTTGTAAGGTGAAATACTTTGAGTTAAAAGAAGGAGATTTGGTTTATTGAGTCAGTTCATGCAATATAATGCGAAGTACATTCTGACAAATTCAACGCTAACAGATGGAGAAAAGGAGCACAAAAGACCGGTGAATGTGCTTGAATTTATTAAGATAATATCAATCTTATGATAGGAAAGAATGCAAAACAAGTACATATCTTGTTACAGCAAAAGATGAGATTTAGATAAAAGCTGAAGTTTAGAAACATGAGAACTTTTTCAACTCAAACATTCTGGACGAATATTACTTTATACAATCTTAGAAGAAAAATGACCTTAATAACTAGCCACTTTCATTTTTACAAATTGTCTTTTTTTAATGACTGTAAAAAGTGAAAATCTTAATATTTTGTTACATTGTAGCAATATGCAATAATCCGTGTGAAAATGGTGGAAGATGTACTAAACCCAACATTTGTGAATGTCCATTAGGATTTGATGAGCATACGCAGTGTACAACAAGTGAGCAAGATATATTTTTCTTTTACACAATAAATACGTATATTGCGTTAAAAACATGCAATGTGCTTTGGTGGCAGAGTTTGTGAACAGCGAGTAATTAAAACAATCATTACCACGTGACTAAGATTTTTTTAATAAAATAACCTGGTCACGTGGTATTTCCCTTCTTAAAAGAAATAAAATGGCCGCCATTTTGTTTCCTCAATTTAGTTGTTTGCACCCTAGAGTTTGCTTTTCGCGTCTTAAATACCTTTGGTTGAATTATCAAGAAGTAAACATCCGTTTTCAGCGGAAATTATTGCATGGGAATAATTAAATGAATGTTTCATTATGCAACAATTAGACGATTAAAGAATGCAACAAAGGATTATTTATTTAATCATAACAGCTGTGGTAGACAGATGTAGATATCATCATAAATCGACATGGTCAAAATCCATGTGATGAATTTTCTGGATAGGCTCAGATTTTACAGATCATAACCGTATAAATGGGTTAAACTTTTTTGATTCTCAATGAAATTATGAAACACAGCTTATTGTATGTTTATGACTGGTACATATTATCATTCGCTTTAAAAATAAAAAATAAAAATAAGCTTTTCATGTAGACCTACAACGTGCAAGGTAAGGATAGTTGAATTACTGTTACTATTGGTTCAATTTTGTTACAGATAGAATAAATTGAATTTTTTAGATCATAACAGTATTTGTTCGGGGTAATAAAATAACGCCTAACGCTAACGCCTCGAGCAACAGTAATTTCATTGGGATTATATTTTTACTGTAACCCGCAAACCCAAATGCAATTTATATACTGTCATTGAGAAGTCCAATCTTTTATATTACCTTTCAGCGTAAAAAATGAAACGGAATATGTTTATCAGACATCGTCGAAAACCACTAGTACTCAATCTATACATACTACTTTAATATACATCAATGACGGTACATTGTCTTTATGTTACCTAATAAGTAGCGCCTTAACCTGCCGTCCGTTGAAAATGATTAGAACGTTCTACTCAGCTGTTAAAAATGTCCCAAATTTACGTGATACACATGTAACGTTTCTTTGGTAACTAAAGTAGATAAAATAATTCTTAGCAATGATATAGAAAAGAAAAATAGTTTTTCCTCTCATCTTAAAGATTAACCCGACCTAGAACGTTTATATAGAATGTGATATATATTTGAACTTGTAAATGCAATATTATTAAATAAAATGTATTTTTATTCATGTTCAGAGATATGCTCTTACAAACTCCCCTGTTACCCCGGAACATGCAGTTTACCAAATACTTGCAAATGCTTTAACGGTTTTACCGATTCTTTTAAAGGATGCCTTACTTGTAAGTACTTATCTTATTCCAAATCTACACTAAAACATTATATTTACACCAAAGCATAAATGAAAATGCTAACCTTTTAAAATTATTTTATGTTTTATTGCACTTTTATAACATATATTAAAATAAATTAAAACTAAAAGAATAATAATAATATGGTTCTATTAAACAAGTAAATGTTTGTTAAAGGAAAACGAAAATATGAATTTTATCAGTTTCAGTCGTATATTTTGTAAAAATAATGTTTAGCTACCGCTTGTTAGTTACCAAATGATACAGGAATATTATAATTTATATATCACATTTAAGTTTCAAGAGAAAACAACCCACCTGTCATAAGAGAATGCGAAATTACATTAGCAAAGATTCGAAGAACTAATCAGAAACAGCAATTTTACTTCAGGTGAACATCGAACATTTTTAAACTTTTTTTTAATTATCGAACATTTATAAACGGTTTTTGTTGTTGTTTTTTTTATATAGCTGATCAAGAAATAAAACTTATTGATTAATGTTTCACTTTAAGTCTTTGAGTTTGAAAGTGTAATGAATGAGTTTGAAGTATTAAAAGAGTTTTTCCGTTTTTTTTCTTATGAAGCATACCTTGCTCCGACGGATCTAAAAAGGACATAATATGGTGCAATCAGGAATTGTTCAATTATGCTAAGTTTACAATGAAGTCCATATACCCTAAACTCCCAAGTTTGCCGCCTCCGCCGGATTATGTTCACAGACATGGCTTTGGAATTGTTTTCAGCGGAATAAATGTCAAACACACAAAATATCCAAGGACTGGTATGATATTTAAAAATACCTTATTATGTAATAAATCAAAACCCTCGAACTATCGCTCCACTGCGTTATTTAATGCCAATTTTGTTCAACTTTTAAAACATAAAAATGTTCAAAGGCCATAATAATTTGTTAATTGTATCAACCTTCTATTTATTTAACACCAGGCCAATCAAGTAATGCATCAAAAAGACCACTGCCTATAAAAATGATGATCATTATAATTGTTAGGTGACACCAATAAAAGGTTTGTTGCTAAGGACACGGACTATAACTGCAATGTCTCATCAGATATGTCGCCACAAGAGGATATTTCATCCTGTCAACAGATAGAAGAAAATTATGAAATCAATATAGAACACGACGACTAGTAAGTTAATTATTTCAATATCAACATGGTCGTATTAAGTTTTTGTGATTTTGTTTGTAAAAAATGGAACATGAACTGAAACATTACTAAATTTTTCATTTTATCTATTTCTCTTTTCATGGAACATGGCATAACAACCATCAGCTTATAGAACAAAACAATAAGTACATAATTATCATATTATTTATAAGTACCTGTTTCCGAAGACAAAGTTCGTAGATTGTTTTTCTTTTCTACAAATACTTGCAATGATATTAAACAAAATATTGGAACAAATAAAACAGAAAAGTCGCAAGAGATCAACATGGTTTATCACATAACACCGTCTTGCTTATCTTCAGAATGTATTACTGTGTATGTTTTGAAATATCTGTCCTTTCAAACTTGAAAAGGAATATATTCATGTGGTCAATCTATATTCCGCGCTCACATGACTGTATGTGTTCGTTTGTCATAAGCTATAAAGAATATTTCACGTTTTTTTCTATGTAAAACAATGTCAGTAGAAAGTAATGGACTGTTATCATTCTTTTTTAAAGCTTAACCGTGACCTACACTACAAAAAGTGGCGGATTTCGGACGCTTTTTAACAAAGATACAAAGACAAATGTCCAAACAGAAATCTATAAAGGTCAAATGGCTACCAAAGTAATAGAATTTAAGTTTGATTTCATTGCACCTGAACACTGTTCTTCAATCGGATCCAAAAACAAATGTAGCAACGGAGAAAAACCAATCAATGTTGGAAATGATATAACGGAGGTAGATGCAGTTTCAAATAAATTTATGTTATACTAAGTATTTATCTAGATTTGTAATGCGATACAACAGTGTTAAAAATCACAAATTACAAACTCAATACCCCTGTTAATTTTATTTCTGTCTTAACAAGAATCACAATTATGTTATGAATTATGTATAACTCTTTGATGATTGTTTTAGAAACCTATTAACATCAGTTGGGATGGATGGTCGGACTCTTTATCTGGAATTGCTTACTACTACCTTGAGGTCTTCAAGTTGGAACCAAATATACACAATGACCTTACAGAAATAGAGCCATTGAAGCCAATTTATCAATTCAAGACAAACGAAACGTCTTCTATAGACTTTCCAACCTATCTCCCTCCGAAAACAGGAATGTATTCAATACTTTTACAAGTATCAGACAAGGCTAATAACTCTAAAATTGCAAGGAGATTGGTTCTTTATGACAACGACTCTTCTATAACCTTAACTAAACCTGCCTTTAATCCTAATATGCCGATAAACGTTTCAGACGTGAAAATTGGAGATGGTGGTATGCATGTAATAACTGCTATACCAGAAACAGGTTACATGTGGCAGACTTCAAATAATAAGACTAAAACGCGGATTGTTTTGGACTATAAAAACCACTTTGTTAACAAAATTTATGACCAAGGGAAACTACTAAACCCAGTTTTGAAGTACCCTACACAATTTGCTGAACTGCAAGATGACGGTGTCCTGCGAAGCAAAAAGTAAGATATTGTTCACAACTTGCAGCTCCTCTACTTTTAGTTAATTGTCTTGTTTTCTCTCTATGACCATCAATAAGAAACTTATGAAAAGACATTTGAATAGCAAGGGGTTTTATTTTGAAAGCTATATTTTTAGTTATGTTCCTTTTTAACGTATAAGTTTTGACAAAAGTAATAATTTCATCTACAGTAGATATATGAACATAAAACGTAGAATCAGGTTAATATGGACAAGGCACATGCTATGGACATTATCTCGAAAGCAGTACTATAAGACCTAATGCCCGTTTTTTAAGTTTGTTTTGATAACAATGATAGTTGCTGATGGTGGTACTTCTTCACTTTGCTATAATAATGATTCGTGAACTTTCATTTAACATTATTTTCATTTTTTCAAGTTTAAAGATGATAAGAATTTAAATCCATTCTTAATTTCTGCAATTTTGCAAACAATATCATCCAAAAGCAGAAGAATTGGGCAATGCGTGCCTTGTTTGTGAATTATCTTCCCTTGAAATAAGCAATCGTCCGATATTTAATGACAGATAATTCAACCCCTAATTCAGGTGGCTTAAAATGTTTTATTTGTATCTCTTTATAAGATTATTAAACATAAAACATAGTTGTGTCTCTATGAAACCCTAACATACAATTTCTTAATAACTCTATTTAATATAAAATTCAAATTCAAATCTATCCCAATATTTTTACAATAGATATGTGAATCTAACAGATAACGAAGGAGCAAGGACACGCAGCGCTATTCCGAATATACATGGTATTGTTAAATTTGAAATCAACCGTGTATACACTGATAATAGACAGGTATTTATTTTAACACTAAAGTTCAAAGTCTGAACACTTTAAATTTAATATGTAATATTGCCATTTTCTATGAAGAACTGACTAATATTGTCAAGTCAATAGGATTTTTCCTTTATTTATAAAATATTGCATGCTCTCATTGTTTTTTTTTTTTTGCGGGGGGGGGGGGAGGTAGTTGTTTTCCGCATTAACATATTATACTGTATTAGGTCTTATGGTGACCGTTTCATTTTACTGCTGCATGAGAAACCTTCAGTGCATTTTTTCGGGCACTAATGAGTAGAACCACCAACGTTTTGTAAGCTAGCCGGATAGCTTCATCAATCCAAAGTCTATGTCGGGATTCTTACCAACAGCGATGTGGATTTGAAGTCAACGACATTAACCAGTTGGCCATGGACGCCCCGAATGCACTTATTGCCAAATATTTGACTTCCACCGGTAATTAAACGTTTTATTTTAAGTACAAATACATCGTATTTCCCATTTCTAGAGTGGTGTTAAGTAGACAACATTGTTACTTCGGTAAATATTGTGTTTCAATGAAATTTAATAACGAATTGAGACATAAATCCGATGACAATTACTAATCGATCTTTTTTCTAATACAAAAATATGTCATAACATTTTTAACAGGAGCCAACATCAGGCTGGATAAAGCACGATTTATCTGAAAAATACGAAATCAATGAACAACTTGATGATGGGAGTCATGTTAGGTTATGGGTTCGAGCAACGGATATAATGAACCACACCCGTGCCGATTACACAGAAGTGCATGTAGATAACACACCTCCGAGAGTTGCTAATGACCATTTTCAAGAAAATATCGTTAATGGAACATATACACACACATCAAGGTATTGCACCCTTTACCTTACTCAATTAGCTTTGTTTGTAGTTTATATATTTGATATCAAGTAATATAATGTTAGGTCAACTTTCCATGATAAAGTAAATCATACCTCCGTATTAATTATTGTTCATTAATGTGGTGTTAAAGTTTTAGTGAGTAATAATGTGATTGTGAAATTTTTACAATAATTTCTGATTCATTAAACAGAATAACATTTGATGCATCAGATGGTGACAGTGGTGTGCATCAGATAAAATATAAACTGTATGTGGAAAATAACACAAGTGAACAGGGCAGCGGATCAATTCCAGCCAACAGAAATAATGCAAGTAGACATAACTAATTCTAATTGTTTAAACGTCAACGTGTTTTATGGTTGTAATTGTTTCATTTATATTTGAACATGAATTATTCATATATAAAAAATATGATGCAACTGATATGATGGTGTTTTTGTGTATTTATTTAAGGATTCCAAAACTGTTTTTAAATAACTTTATTACAGGCATCTGACGCTTGTGGAAGGATTCCATTTTGTAATTGCGTGCTACAGACATGCTTCCTTGTTCCTCAGAAGTTAGATATTGATAACTGCTGGTTCCTTGTACCGAAAGAAGATTTAAATAAATCTGCAAGGATAGAAGTCGAAGTTTACAATCAAGCGCTTCTTTTCAAGACATTTACAAAACAGGTATATCAAAGCACGGAAATTAACAGTAACACCGTGTTAATATTACGTCATTGTAATTTGTAAAGAGATGCTATTGAATTTTCATTGAATATGTAGAATATGTTCTGATATCTGTCTTTTGTTTAACCGTGTTAGTAAATTAATTAAAATATTTGAACAATAGTGTCCTGTTTTAAAAACAATATGATCTAACATCATTCTTTTCATTCAATAAAATTATTTATATGTATGTCGTACCTAAAGCTACGTTTTACTCCTTTTTTAAATACATTGAGGTTAATTAAAAATATTTTTAATGCATGTACTTTTGTCTTGCAGATCAAACAACTGACAGATCTAAATGGACTAGAAGAATGTTAGTAATCTCTTTTTGATTCTTAATATTTGTTACAAACCCTGAACTTAACATATTTTAAAGAAATATTTCAACATATAAATGAACATTTTAGTCTTAAGATATTTGAAATTGATTATCATAAGTGTCTATATTCAATAGTCGCAGCATAATATGTTGCCTTTTTCTTATTTAGATTATAATCATAGTTTCTCATTTACAATAACACTAATCTTAGACTCCGGCCCAACTAATATTCGAGTACAGAAGAACTTTGCTGGAGGAGTAAGGCTTGTGTGGGATTTGCCTAAAACTGCTTCATGCTATGGAAGAGCGGATATCGATGTCATCATATATAACTCAGATGGAACATTAAGAGTGGTGAAAGTTTACAATGAAGGGACGTCTGTCGACCTAGTTGGACTTCAACCTGACTCAGACTACAGTATATCATTAAAACTTGGTTACAAAGGAACACAGTTGGCTGCACTTCCTTACACATTTAAGACTGGTAAATCCTATATTTGTGCCATATATATTTCCTTCAGACTAATGTCATAAATGTTGACTTTTCTTGTTTATATATTTTACTATAATGTTTGTGTGAAAAGAAGATGAAATAATTATCGTTCAAGTTGTTCCTAAATTGAAAATTATGAGAAGGTTTTATAAACAGTAATGTAATGGTCAGTTCCAAATAATGCTTGCACGTAAGGTTTTCAAATAGTTATAAATATATCCGAGTAAATCAATGTTGTAAATAAGTATATAGTTTATACCGTTCAGTCTTGCGTTGATAACTTAAACATTTATTCCAGCTCCAAAGGAAAATTACCTGTCTGGTGGGGCTATTGCAGGCATTCTTGTCAGTAAGTGTATTTATCAATTAAGATGTATTTTAAAGAATGATATGAAAACTGAAGACTTAAACGCTTAAAGGGAATATAAGTCTTCTAATTGTTTAAACATCATATAAGCCTACACCGTGTTTATCAAGGTGAACGTGGATACCTTTGTATTAAAAAAGCTATCAATACGTATTAAGTGGTATATGCAAAGATTGTGAAAAAAGAGGTGGATGTTAATCTTAACCTTAAATATAGTGTCTTTTAATGTATCGTTTTTCTATAAACTTTTACTACAGGCATCTTGGCCATACTAGGAATTCTGATTGCAATATTTGTGGTTCTTTTGAGAAGAGGCCACATGAAACCTGTACGACGACGTCTTGATGCAATGTCGATAAAATATAGGAAAACTGTCGCTGGAAACAGATCAAGAGCTAAACAAAATGATTATGTATCTGTAAGTGTTTTCAACTTGTTATGTTTTATCACCTTTTGGGTGAATTTGAAAACATCACAAAACAAAGTAAAAAGTAGAATTAAAAATAAGCATTCTTTGTCATTCATATCAAATTTCAAGAATGGGTACTTGTTATACGAAGAATGAACAACGAAATGTATATATATTGCTGATCTGCTGATTATTTTCAAAGGGAGAGTAGCGTGGTTGGTTACACGTTCGTCAGTAAACAATTTAATATCGATATATTTAAAAATCATTCTCTTTCAGAGTAACGCTGATTCGTTATATATGTATGGAGAGATGGATTTTAAGGACATACAAAATTGGCAGTTGGATCGAGATGATGTGGTGTTAGATTCCTTGCTGAAATCAGGAAGCTTTGCTGACATCTACTTGGCAAAACTAAGATCAACGAACGAAACAGTGGTGGCCAAGACGCTGAAACGTTTGTATATTCTAAAAAAATACTGTTATGTGGTCAGATGGATTATTGGCATACTTAATGATATTGCAGTAGTTTCAAATAGAAGAATTTCCTATTAAGTACTTTGACATTCTTACAAAGTTTTGACATATATAATCAAACATAGTTTATGTATACATATATTTTGTATGACTGTAGAAAACTACTCCGAGCATGATGAGTTCCTGATGAAGGCAAAGATAAACTTTAACTCCGTTGTTGTTGGCAAGAACGAAAATGTATTGCATTTCATAGGGGCAGTTGTGTCCGAAACAAACAGTAAGCTATTTGTCAAAAACGTGTGTAAAAATAATTATCCTTAACGTTAAATGAAAAGTATTATGCTTAAAGAAAAATGAAAAGTATTATGCTTAAAGATAAATGAAAAGTGTTTCAGTGACTTTGTATCAAGGTGTTATATTTATCACCGTTTAAGCGCAAATTTTCTAAAAATAATTTAGTCACCAAGCCTGTAATTGTATCAGAAAATTACAGACACCAATATAATGGATATGTGTTTTCTTTATTACATAATCTTAACCAGTCAGCATTAACAGTTATTTGCTTTGAAGATAATATGATTCATTTTGTTTTAAAGTTGGACCATTTATTATCTACGAGTATTGCTCGAATGGACAGATGCGAGACTATTTGGAAACAATGAAATATAATATTACTGTTGAAACTCTTGAACGCCAACTGAGATTTGGACTTGGAGTCGTCCGTGGGATGGAATATCTTGCACAAAGAAAGGTAATATAAAATCTAGTAATAGTTGATATCCGGAAGTGTTTTTGTTTGTATCTAACCGGTACAAACAAACGTCTACCTTTAAAGTTGCGTTGTTCAATGCCATTCGCTATTATAGGTAAGTTACACTGGTGTGCTTTAATTGCTTAGTTTTTTTTTTGCAAAATATTGTAACCCCAGATTATATTAGAAATCGCAAAACTTCACTTAATACCAGCGTTAGTCTTTTATTGACTTAAATGTTAAATTTCTTGTCATAAAAAAGACGAATAGTGAAGAATAAGATAATTTAACTACTAGAATGCTTAAATAAGTGTTGCGGTATCAACACTTTGTAATTTCGGTATTGCGACAGCAATGTTCATATCACATGCTTTGTAACCAATGCATCAATTTGCCGACTTTGCCAAACGGAACGTATTTACGGTTATATTCAATGAGGAATTAATGTTATGAGACCATTCATATACAGAGGATACTTTCGTTTACAATATTTTGTCTTTAGATTAAGAAGTCAGACTTTCATTATAGAAAATGTGTTAGTATAAAAATAAAAATAGGAACCATATCATTATCAAAGACAGGAATGTTGATTGAACAATTTTTGATACATGTATATTGTTAATCTAAACTATTTAATGTTATGAGTAAGTACTATTACCAAGTGAAAATAACAACATGTGTCTATTACCAGATATTAAGTTATCAAAAATTAATAAATACTTATTTGTATATTAGATAGTTCATCGCCGCTTAGCAGCTCGCAATGTCCTCCTCGATGCTGAACTTAACCCACAAATAACAGGATTCGGGCCGCAACCAGAAGAAAAGGACGATGGAGATAGCACTAAGAGGGTTACTTTTTATACTAACTCAATTCAAAACAGTATCACTGAAAATATTGGCTTGATGTATGTTTATTTCAATGAATAAACATTAAATTATCTTAAAACGAAAATAAAATGGTTGTCATGTAGAAAACGATAATTGAGAAAGCATCGAATCTGTTATATTTTTGAAATGCAATTTCTTACAAATAAATACATCCCTGGTATAATATCCGGTTATTTGTGTTTGTTTATTTAATTTGTTAAGCATAAAATCTAAATTAATATAATCATTTATATCACAGTTATTAAAAAAATATTCATTTTACCTAAACTAAAGGAGAGAATACCATTGAAATGGATGGCCCCAGAATGTCTAAAATCAACGGTAGATGCGACTGAAAAAAGTGATGTTTGGTCATTTGGAGTCGTTCTTTGGGAGATATTTACTTTTGGTAACACTTTAAAGCAGCATGCCTCCAGATTCATACTGATTTTTATAAAAGTTTGAAAATGAATTTTAAAAGTAAAATATTTTGAAGTGAACAAAGACTGTATTAACAAAATCCAAACGGTGCTTAAAACCTACGTTAGTTACCAAAAAGAATGTCTAAAAAGCAAAATTAGTCATGAGTCGTTAGTAAAGCAGTAGATAAATGGTGATAAATATACCAAAATTACCTATTAATCGCAAGTAACATTTAGATTATTACTTGAATCTTGAATCTTAAACTTCTTAAACTCTTAGAAAATAGCTCTCAAATTTCATTTTCGTAAAACATTTTGACTCATCTTGAGGCGTGTTGCTTTAACATAGATACATACGGTGATGTTTTATTATCTTATTCTGTAAGTGATTTTAGATTACTTGATTAGAAAGCTATCCTTTGCTAAGTATGTATTTAAATACCCAGTTCTTTCACATTTTTGTTAATTATAGTAAATATTGTGTAGATTAAACCTGTATGATTGTGCACTTTTATAGTAAAAAGTTGTGAACATCCTCTGTCATCGAAAATAAAATGGTTTAAAAGAACAAACAATAATTCAATGTAAATGTGGATTATCTAGAAAGTATGATTTTAATTTATATTCCAGGCGAGAGTCCATACGGAAATATAAGAGGCCGTGAATTGCCGGCTAAGCTGAAAGGTGGCTACCGTCTTCCAAAACCTGAACAGTGCGATGACAAGTAAGATCATTTTTTATATCCTCAACTTATTTAACACTATTTAAAAGGGTTATAATAATGTATTACATGCTTTTCGGTGGTTTATAGAAATATATCAGTGAGTTAAAAACTGGTAATTTCACTGTTTGAAGCAGTGAAATTATCGATTTGATAATTTCACTGTTTTGAATATTTGAGCCCAGTACGTTGTTTCAGTGAAATACAAGCGTTCACAGTACTAGAAACCAACTTAATGACGTGACGTCGTAAATGACGTCACGTTATATTATTATTTGGCGCCCTTTCCATTTAGTGCTAAGTTAAAAATGTCTTTTTAAACGTTTCTTTGCATATAATAAAAAGAAAATTTGTTTAGTTTAATGTAAGATCGAAATATATTTCACCTCGTCAACACCAAAAGTTAATATTTCACTCGTGGCTGCGCCACTCGTGAAATATACCTTTTGGTGCTCACTCGGTGAAATATATTCCGATCTTACACTGAACTAAACAAATATCCTCTATATATCGATAATGATTGCAAATAATACGATTTTACCATTTGATGTACTTAACTCAAAAACAAAGAAAAAAAGTACGTAATAGATACGCTCGGTAAATAACATGTACTATATCCTTTTTATTATATTTCAATAGATGGTATGGTGTTATGAAGCAATCATGGGAAGAAAACCCAAAGAAGCGACCAACGTTCAAGGAGATACGAAATACACTGGATGAGTTATTTGTCGCCGCACCCACCGACGATTACTACTATTATAGAAAGTAAAGTGCAAGGACTGTTGTGAAAAAAACTTGATTCATCTTCCACTACTTCAATAACTGTTTTATTGACTTATGAGTATTGACATAATACTAGCTATATTTTCCTGTAAATACGCCTTTAGTTTTTCATCGTTAATGTGATGATACAAGGAAGTTGGACAAGAAACGCAATATAAATATGAAAAGTAAAATACATGCAATTATCTTTTTATTGTGTGTGTGTGTGTGTGTTTTATATAGACATTTTACTTGTTAACATTCAGAAAAGCAACATATTCAAAGGTAAAAATGTACCACATTTTTGTTGTATGTTTGGTACACCATATGTATCCATATGTAAAACATATTTGTTTCGTATGTGTTGAAAAACATGTGTTTAAGAACATTTGTTTTTCATAATTATGTAAGGTTAACATATGTTAAACAGGACCATATGAAAAACATGACAACAAACATATGTTATTTTTATTACCTCCCTTTATTTACATGAAATGTTAAATTTTGTAATATCTTTATAAATTATGCTTTTTGGAACTTACGAAATTGATAAATCTTTAATTTGAGCATCATATTTATGATTAAACCCATAAAAAATTGTGTTACAAGATCTTTAAAGATTTATCAATTTTGTAAGTTCCAAAAGCATTATTTATCAAAAAAAATATTACCAAATTTTACATTTCATGTAAATAAAGGGAGGTATAAAAAGTTTATTTTCTATTAAGTCTAAGTCAAATTTTTCAATAAGAAATGAATGTATATATTTCAAAGTTTACATATAATATGTACAAATATTTGCAGTGTATATTTTACATATTTTTTGATGTTTGAAAATTGTTTGGTGTGATGTTGAACACTTAGCTATACTTGTTAAATTCTTATGAATTATCAAGTTCAAACAAACCAAACTCTGGAACACAATGAAAAACATGATTCATTTGAATACATATGTGAAAAGCATAAGTTTATACCATAAATGTAACATACAGTGTCCTTTTCTTGGAGAAACACTGTTTCCTACGATATGAAAAAATATGTTATTCATGTGTTTCCATATGAAAACATTAGAAAAAAATGTGTCTTCACCATATGTTAAACATATGGGGTACTTTTTCTTGGAGACACCATATGTTTCTTCCACATGTAAAACATGTATGTAACATACGTTTAACATGTGGTACATTTTTACCTGTGTATAAGAATTGTATTGTAATGATAATAAACTAATGTTGACATCTGTTCATAACCAATCTATGTTACTTAATGTTGTTAATTATATATTGAATGCGAAGTTTGTTCCATATGCTTGCACGTGTTGTTATAATAATAATGTCGCTTTATTAAGCATCCGATGTCTAGTTCTTATTGAAATGAAACAATAAAGCAATCTTAGAACACTGGAGTATAGACCAACAAGAAAGAACAATGAAAATAAATGCACGTAAATATATGAAGTTGTGTTTATCTGATTTAGAAATGTTGTAGAATAATTGAATTGCGAGTAGTTTAAAGGGACTCCACTGAGGTTTAAAAGCCTAAAAACCTAACATTTGAATTTCTTACATAAATGAGCTGGGGCACGTTAAACTGAAACATATGCAAAGTAATAAGAAAGAACAAGATAAGTTAAGGAATATACTTTGAAATAAATTAAAAATCGTATTTTTATGCTTTTCTTAGCCCGATTTGAGTGAAAAGCGTTGAAATTCAACTGACAAAAAAGCTGGGACAGCCAAATCATCTGAATGTTTTAAACTCTTATAAAAAGCAGAAAAAACAAGCATTATACTGATTGTACTTAAAAATATATTTAAATAATTCGTTTGTCTTTTTGAACAGGGAATAGAGAAAGTCTTTTTAATACCAGAAGGATCCGAAAAGAAAGACTACTCAAAAGTAAAATATATGAATGAATATGAATGCATAAATGTACAGTTGATTAAGCTGCTTGATACTTTTGTTGGTATTTATCGATATATAGCTTAACGCGTCAATAGTTTAACAAAAGCCAACATTTTGAGTAAACACAAAATATGCCGTCAACATAGATGATAAAATGCAAATTGAATCCAGATTTAATAGGATCGACATCAAAATGGTAATTTTATATACAAAATGCAATTTGATGCTATAATGTTTACGTTTACATGATATAACTACTGCAAACGTAGACATATTCTGTTTGTGTGAAACATATTCATGTTGTCATGATAGTGTCCTAAATAATTAAATAACAAAAGATAAGAAAAGGCTACTTTTGTCAACAAGCTAACTCTGATTGTTTGACATAGATGATTTATTAAAGATCAGGCTCAGCAAAACAGTAATGATTTTGAAGGTATGCCAGGTTAGAAAATATATTCCAATACTCCTCGTGATTTTGTCATTACACACAAAGAAAGAAAGAAATACGGTGTTAAACTGTCAATAAACACTGGAAAGAGACAGCATGTATATGCGGCTGTTTTCTCCCTCGATAAAATAGTTTACAAAGTCTTCTTAAGGCAACATCAGTAACGCGATATTTTCCGTTTTTAATATGTCTTCTTTTCCATATGATGCTAAATTAACATCTCAAAATGTTAACACCACATGTTTGATCTGTATCAGTTGATAAAATTCTTATAAGACAAATCGGCACCGTCTCGTAAGCAGCGTAATAACGCCATCCTAAGTATGTAACTCATTCATAAAGGTGCAAGGATTAAACTAACATGGGTAGGGATTTAAAGTTTGATTTATCGGAGCACCGATGAAAACACAATACAGTCTGATGCGTAATTTTAGGTTGTTGAAAACTTGATAAGTTAATTTCTAAACAATAATGTAAAAATTTGTTTCGTATTATTTCTTAAATTTTATATTCTTTATAACTAAGCGGCAGTAGGGTATGAAATAGAACGGCTTTATAATATATATAAAATCGGTAGCGAAGTAAGTTCCTCTTTTAAAAAAGCGTTTACTTAGTTATCTTCCTAAATTTGTCTTGTAAGAATCAAAATAATATTGGTCTAAGCGATGTTAATCGGCTCTTTAACACGGTTTTGCCGTTTGGATGCGAAAAAATCAATTGCTACGCATCAAAACTCATCACGGTGCTAAATAGTCGATAAACACTTTTTAAACCGATACTATTGCTTCATATCAAACATAAATTTGTAAGTTATATATAAAACCGATCAAGTCATTTCATATATTTTGACAGTGTCTGAATCGTTTTCAGTAACTACAAACATATCAGTACCGTTAAGAAAATTCACATGCTGAAACTTTCCTTGACTAGAACTCAGTAATCGGCGGCAATACTTCCCGTCTGACGAGACTTGATGAACGGAGGGAGGATTTATGTCACAAATATAAATATATCCCTCACGATCGCATGTAGAACAAACGGGATTGTTAATTTCGTTACAGGAAATAACAAAATCAATTTTCTCATCCTTGTAATGCATTTTAACCACTTCCCCGAAAGATTTTGCTCCTAGACATGATACAAAAACAACACCATGTCTGGTATCAGTGCGCAGTGACACCGGATCCCTGAATGCATAGTTAAATTTCCAAGTTCTCCCCTTGTCGCCCTTTTTCAGCACGGCTACATCATTACGCGTCGTGTATAGCAAATTACCGTCTGCATATTCTATTCCACGGCATTTTGGTTTAGATTGTAATTTCATAACTTCAATCTTCTCATCAAAATGATTGTCACTAATTTCAACGAGTTTTATAACGTTATCATCTGGAATAGTCACTGCAATTCTGTTACATCCGTCCTGGACAGAAGCCACGTTATGTGGGTGTCCACTAAGCTTAATTTCGTCTTTGATATCAAATTGTCCATCAAGCAAAAGAAGTCTGTCGTTCTTTTGGTCACATATAACGAGACTTCCGTTTCCTAGCTGGGTTGTGTCTGTAATATTTGAAACGTCTTTATCCTTCGTAAGATTAATTTGTCGCACAAGCGTTGCTATCCGTCTTTCCATTGATTCTAAGTGTCTTCTTGGTCTTGGGGATACAAATGAAGGCGTAGTTATATTTCCCGGGGAAACGATCGATTGTGACGATCTTCTGGGGGTTGTTATTTTTCGATGTGGTGTTCCCGTATAGCTAGAACGTCTTGATATATTTCTTGACAAAGCGTTATCTCGAAGAAATTGTTGTCTTTTCGGATTTTCATCAAACAATTCAAGCACTGGTGACAAGCTGTTATGTGGCATTTTGTTATTCACTTCTTCAATTCCATCAGAAAATACATCTTTGTCAATACTATTGTCACTTTGCAATCCATTTTCCATATTCATTTCCTCAATTAACTCGCCATTTTTGGGAGATGGTAAATTCGATAAATTCTGGCTTGGAGTGATGATTCCGGTATCCTCGAAATCACGATTGTATAGCTGAGATGAGTTAGCACCAGACGTTGAGTTTGTCAGATGTGTCGAACTTCGTTTTGTATATGTTGTATCATCAGTACCAGCGTCGGATGCATCAGATAAAGTGTCATATACCTCACTATTTTTCTTTCTCTCGCATGTCACACTGCCCAAACGTATTGTCTTTTTATCGCCCTTCTTTCCAATAATGTCATTAAATGTAATGTCTTTATTAAGATTAAGAACAGGTTCGTAATCGTAAACTTTATCCGTTGCAGTTTTATTGTTCTTGACAAAATGCTTACACTTTAGCACAGTTTGAAGCCTTGAAACATCAGTTACGATAGATTTATTATTTTCTATTTCTTTCTTTAGTTTTGTCAATTTATTAAGATCAGTTTCTTTGTTTGTTTGGAAATCCTTCAATTCGTTCAGCGCTGACGTTATACTCATATTCGTTTCACGACATATTTCATCTTCTAGATGCTTTAGAAGGTCTATCACCGTACTCACAAAAAGCTTAATCTCATCCAAAAATTGACTTCTTTTATTTTCAAGTTTATTTCTTACTTGCGAAATATGTAACAATTTTTGCTCTGTAGTATACTGAATATTTCTCAATTTCTCCAAAGTATGGTTTTCAATTTGTTTAAACTGAATGCTTTCTATAAAGTTATTGATGTCATGAACGTGACATGTCTCTGCTCGAGTATGTCTTCGTTTGAAGTCTTGGAAGCAAGTTAAGCAGTAGAGATTTTCTGTTTTCTCATCGTAATGTGTAATTGTATTCCCATGCCTTTCACAACGTATTTGATTTCCGTCGTTTCCTTTGATATTTTCAAACTGGCCGTCGCGTTTAATTGCACGTGATCCATATGGAAGATTACTTCTAGTTCCTACCTGTACAGTTTTAACATTAGTCGATGCGCAACCTCCCATTATTCCTTTATTTCCTCATAATATGTATTCCTAACTACAACGACATATTTATCATGCTTTGGGTATAAAATACATTTACATGTATTCTAAATTTAAATAATGTTTAGGCGTATTTAAACAGATTACGTCTCGATATTTATGTCTAGATTATATTCATGAATTCAGAATAATAATAGCACGTAAAGACTTTTTTATAAATGCCTTTCTCTCTTTGATATACATACCATTCACATAGCATCGATCGATCAAAGATGTCAATAATAATTTTGGAAGCGTATTGATACTGATATTGAACATTTAAATGCGCTTTTGAAATGATTATGCGGCGCTATACTCTCTATAGTAAACAATGTTTAAATATACCCGCTATAGAAATTTTATAACTTTATCAACTTGAAATTATAAGTTGAAGTAAGAAAAAAGTTTATTTCTTTTTTTTATAAAATAAGATTTTTGTAATGCATGTACACGCATTTTTTTTTATTAAATCAACATTATATCTGAGTATCTGTCAGAGTTTCGTGTTTCTTGTAGACACATTTACTTTTAAATTTCTTATCACTTTATTTTGTTTACTTAACCTTTAAAACATAAAATGAATGAATGAATGAATGAATCAATCAATCAATCAATCAATCAATCAATCAATCAATCAATCAATCAATCAATCAATCAATCAATAAATAAATAGATATAGATAAATAAATAAATAGAAATAAATAAATAAATACATAAATAAATTATTAAATAATATTAAACAAATAAATAAATCATAAATGAATTATAAGAGAAAGAAAATAGAGATAAATACATTGTAAATAGATAAAAACATGAACTTTTTTGTATTATTTTGGATTTTTTTTAATTTAGTAAAAGGTTATTAAGTCATTTTTGTGAAAATAATTGCAGTAGTTACTATAAAATATAGCTTAACCTGGAAATGAATTAAGAATATCACTATGTAAATGTGGTTCTAAAAATGAATAATACTTTAAACTACATAAAAGCATAATGAAAATAAGCGTGTGTTTGTTTAT